GGCGGATGACAGTTGACCCTGGGAGAAGGCTTGTGGAGAGGACGCGCAAATTGGACCGTTGAGCAGATCCATCCGGATCAGTGGGAGGGGGTCTACTTCTACCTTGTAGCGCGGTGGCCCAGGACCAGCTTGCAGATCCAAGCTGCCAGCCGGGTCTGCCTGTCTAGCCGATCAGGCCGAATTGGATGATCAGAAGCTAACTCGAACTTACTCGCAGCGCAGTGGCCCGAACCCTAGACTTTCTTGCGGGCCCAATCGGCTCGACAAGTCTGCCAAGCTGGTCCTGTCGAATCAGCGGGCCTGTCTAACTCGAACTTGCCACGCTGTGGCCCTCAGCCCCTGACCCTGTTGGGAGGGGAGGCGGTCGTAGCGTAAGACCTCGGAGCGGTTAGCGCTGCTAGGAGATATGTTTGATATGTTGGCTGAATGTATGAGGAAGAAGCGGAACGGGATCAAGCGACGGAGAGAACGCGGGTCTCCTCGCCTACCGCCCGTCACGCTGGTGCCGATATGCAAACTCAGGCGGTCGATCAAGGTCGAGGTGGGACTTGGCAAGGCAATAACAGCGGCGACCTGCAACCATCACATCACGCACCGCATGTACCGCCGACGAGTTCACGAAGCGCATCTGGCTATCAGCAGCACATGAAACGAAAACAAGCTTCAACATGGCCTCGTTCATTTCTTTCAAAACCCAACGCCCCAAAGGGTCGGTGGGAGTTGCTCACCCATCACTGCAGTAAGAGAGAGAGAGAGAGGGAGAGAGGGAGAGAGAGGCAAAAAAAAGGATCCGCGAAAACACAAAAGCGAATGCGAGGTGCAGCTGTTCGGGCTGTGTCGCCCAAAGCCCTGCAGCCCTGATGATCCCTTTGCCAAAGTCCGCGCGGTTTGGGTGCTCGTCGGGTGCCTGCACGCATCCTTGAGAAGCTGTCCCGTGCGTACAATAAAAGCTCGGCCACAAAAAACCTTCCACAAGAAACCCAACTCTGAGACCCCAGGACGTCCATTGACTTTTTGTGTGGGAACGTCACGCTTTCCATCGCAGATCGATCGGATTCCAAGAAAACCAGGGCACCCTGGAGGCAAGCAGGGTGTTTCTTGGCGTGGGTTTCCACTGTACCCTACCAGAACGCGGACAAGGGAGAGTAGGGTATCTTCGGCATGCGTGCGAGGAAGATGAACGAGGATGGAGGAGGAGGAGGAGGAGGAGGAGGAGGAGGAGGAGGTGAAGGGGCAGACGGTTTGTGGGAGGAAGCAGGAGGGAGGAGGGATAAGGAGCAGAAGCTGGAGGAGGAATCTCGTGACGAGCATGAGGAAGAGTGAGGAAACGATGGGGAGGGTGAGAGGGGCAGAGGACAATGAGGAGGGGTATCATGATGAGGATGCGGATCAGGAAAAGGAGAGCGAAGACGATGGGCGGGAATTCTAGCATAAGCAGGAACAACAGAAACACAAGGAGGATCAGAGGGGGTGATGAGGGAGGGGAGGGGGGCGTGAGGCGCAGGAGGAGAATAAGGATGCGGGGGGGGGAGCTGGAGGAAGCAACAGGAGAAATATAGAAAGAAGAATTAGAGGGAGAGGAGGATGTGAAGAAGGATGAGGAGGATAACGACGACGAAGAGATGGAGAAGCTGAGGAGGAGGAGGAGAAGGAGTAGTAGGAGAAGGGGTGGAGGATGAGGATGGGGACGAGGACGAGGAAGGGCAGGAACACGAGGAAGGCCGCGAGCAGAATCAGAAGGAGAGGGGAGTGAGAGGAGGGGAAGAAGGAGAAGGAGGAGGATGAAGAGGAGGAGCAGTAGGGATAGATCTGGATCCAGATAAAAGAACGATGAGGAGGGAGCGGAGGCGGAACAGGAGGACGAGGAGGAGGGCCATGATGATGATCAGGAGCAGGAGGACGCCGAAAGGGAAGAGGGAGGAAGAGGAGGATTGGAGAGGGAAACAAGAATAGAGTTGGATGGTGATAGGGATGCTGAGAAGGACGATGACACCGAGGCGGAGGCGGCGGGTGAGAATGATGAGGCGGAGGAGGAGAACGGGAAGGGGTCGTACACTGGAACAGATTAAGGGATGTGAGCATGGAAACGAGGGGGAGCCATACGACGAAAGGCTGGGGGATGAGGGGGAGCAGGTGGAGGAAAAGGATTGCAAGTACGAGGGCCAAAGTGAGGGAGACAGAAGAGGAGGAGGAGGAGGAGGAGGAGGAGGAGGAGGAGGAGGAGGAATAGGAGGAGGAGGAGGAAGAGGAGGAGGAGCATGACGGAGAACATCTGCAGGAATACTGATGCCGACGAGGGGAGGGAAAACTACGATAAAGTAGACCACCGACATTCAACATCAGCAGCTCGACACCGGGGCAGTGCGAGATTCCTGGAAGGAGGGCCCATGAAGCCGGTGCCAGGCGCGAGGGACGGGGGGCCATGCGGCTGCCTCGGGGCCCAGGACGGAAGGAGAGAGGAAGAATGGACAAGTGCGTTCCACTACTCGCAAAGTAGCTGCCTCCCTCCCTCCCTCCGTCCCTCCCTCCTTCCCTCCTCCTCCGCCATCTCCTCCTCCTCCTCCTCCTACTCCTCCTCTTCCTCTTCCTCCTCCTCCTCCTTCTCCTCCTCCTCCTCCTCCTCCTCCTCCTCCTCCTCCCTCGCCTCTTCCTCCTCCTCCTCCTCCTCCTGTTCCTATTCCTATTCCTATTCCTCCTCCTCCTCCTCTTCCTCCTCCTCCTCATCCTCGCAAATGGCCTGGATCAGCCGCGGGGGATTTACAATCCATTACGTCGAGGCATCTGCGTGTTTTTCGGATGTTGGTGAGCAGGCACTTTGCGAGTAGTGGAACGCGCTCGGCGGAAAAAGGGATGGGAGAGGGCAAGATGAGGAGGGGAAGGGGGGCCGAGGAAGAGGACGATGAGAGGAGAGATGACGAGGAGGAGGGCTGGCTGGGGCCAGGAGCGGGAGGTCGAACGAGTGCACGGAGGAGGTGGGAGATGAGGAGGAGCAGCAGGAGTAACGACGAGGAGCGGGACTGGAGAGCAATACCCAGAGAGGGGAAGCAGGAGGAGCGGAAGGAGCTGCCAAGCGAGGCGAGAGGAGAAGGCACTCGACGATGAGGAGGAGACGGAGGAATATGATGAGGAGGAATACATAGGAGGAACATGAGAAGAGCGAGGACGAAGAGCTGGAGGAGCGCGGGGGTGAAGAGGGGGGGGGTCATGAGGAGCTGGAGCGGGAGAAGCGGGAACGGGGGGAGCGGGAGGAGCCAGAAGAGAGGAACGGCATGAGGAGGAGAAGCAGAAAACGGAGGACCTGAAAACTTGCAGAGGCAGAGGGGAACCTGATGATCGGATCATCATGTTGTCATCGATGCGAAATGTGATCAACGATACTGGATCTGATTGGGTTGAGTTTGGTTTTGCGTTGGTAGACCAAATTCCGATCCATGGCATCATGATGTTCACAATTTTGTCTGAGTCGGCATACCGTGCGGCACTACACAAAAGATGCACAACACCCTCCGTCGACTTTGTTGTCAACCTCAGCCGCGTTCAAACACTCGGCCTCTAGAGCTGCATCCTTGCAGGCACAGCTGAAGCTACACTAAAAGCACGTGCACAACTGTGGGACAGGCGGAGCAGGCAACATGGACGAAACTTGAGATGCGACAGGATGCCGACCCGCGTGATGTCGTCATGGTGTGCCATCCCATTGTGGCGCGATAACTTTCAGGCAGTCCTATTCTTGCAAAGATTCCAGGGCACCTCCATCGTACAGCAACGAGGTGCTGTTTATGCAATGGCGCTCTGGTGTCGCCCCGCAGCCCTGCCCAATAAAAATGTGCCCCAAATGGCCGCCACAATTGCCGCAATGCGCCTCGATGTCCCCAAAGTCTGGTTGAGTGCCAATGTGACTACCAGTCAATTCAGAACGGATCTCCTGCTCAAACGATGGCCACCCAGTCGAAGATGGAGTCTTATGGATAGCAAGATAGAGTGGATAACAGCAAGCAGCACATCTAAAAAAACCTTCCACAGGGTAGAAATCCTCATATTTGCCTGTACCAGGCGTCTCTGTTCCACCCTGGCGCATTATGTTGTACCTATCCTGGCCAAGGTCATGCAACCATTGCTCTTCAGTCTTTTGAACACGGAACTGCTTTAGCTGTCGCAGTCCCTTGAAACCAGCGAATCCGAAAGCCTTCGTCTGGACAAGAGGAACCTTGCTCGAGCAGTCAGCCAGCGGGCGCACTACAGAACGAGTGCACCTCATCATCTCTGGACCTCGCAGAATTTAGCCAAGCTCGAATAAAATTGGCTTGAACCTGAATGGCTACGGACATCCGTCAGACTCTTCACAAACGAAACCATAGTACATGGTTACACCATACTCATCGGATACATCCGTTTCATAAGCTGAATGTGTTGTTCATCGAGTATTCGACTTTTGACCACCCCACGCCACTGCGGCCTACCACAATCTGCCTCCACCACCACCATCCCCCCCTTTACATCTCTTCCCCTCCGCCAGAAAAGAAGGTAGAGGAGGAGGGGGAGGAGGAGGAGTCAGCAGGAGCAGGCAGGGTAGGAGGAAGAGACGGAGGAGATTTAGGATTACAATGAACGGAGAGGGTCCTGAGGAAAATGGGTTCTGGGTCCCGGGACCTTCCTCTGAGACATGTTTGTCATCCTGGGTTGATTTTGGACGGTCCTGGGACCCAGGATCGGCCCCAGAGTTCAAAAACAGCGGCGAGCCTCAGGACCTCCTTGCCTGAGGGCCCTTCCCCTTCATGCGAACAATGAGGAGGAGAGCCAGAAAGGGGGGAAGACGGGGTCGCAGCGAGGCCTCGTCCTGTAGGGCGTCGCGCTCGGGGTAGCGCCGCGCCGCCTCGCGCTCGTCGAGCTCCCTCGCAAAATCCTCGCCGGCGCGGGCGGGAAGGTGGGAGCGCAACGTTCGAGTGCTGCTGAAGTGCCGCTGGCCCAAAACGCCCCCACGGGCTCCGGAGAACTCCCGACGAGGCCCAGCGGGCCCCAGGGACTCCAAAGTGCAGCGAAGAGCTGGGCGCACATCGGGCCAGGGGCACGTTCGGCTTCCCCCGAAGTGTCGCGACGGAATGTCGCCGACGGGGTCTGCATCACACAGCCCCGACGTGGCAACCGCATCGGGCACAGCGGGGGCAAGTCGCCAGTGAGTCGCTGCCCCGACGGCAGCCCCCCGCGGGGGGGGGGGGACGGATAGAGGGAGAGGACGAGGAGACTGCACATGCCTACTGCGTCGCGACAAAAACTGTTGGTTCCCACGGCGAGGATCCGCGCCGCGCTCGAACGCAACCGAGGGACACTACGGGGCCGAATTGGGCACAACAGAAACGGAAGGAGAGCGGGCGCGAGGTAAGGTAACGGAGCACGCTCAGGGCATGGAACCCTTGTACGTGTGTGCTGGAGGACGGGCGTGTTCAGCGCGGAAAAAAAACACGACGGAATATGCACCGTTTGCGGGCCCCCTTGCCGGGACTGGCCGACGGTGGAGGAGACAGCCTGGCAACACTGCTTGCGTACGCGCCCATATCTGACTTGGCGCACTTGTAGCAAGTTTGCGTTCCAATAATAGATGGGCGCTCATTCGTTCGATGGGTCATACAGGTAGCTGCGATAATTAGCCAATTCCTTGCATTATCTACACATCTACCTGGGAGTGACTATGAAACCTCCGTCGCACGAACAGCAGACGATGGGCGTAATGCTTGAACATGCTTCCGCGTGGCACCTTCGTCCACTTGCCGTTGAGTGGCGCTTGCCACTGCTGGCGCCCGTCTGCAGCTTGCCATACTCAGACCCCCGACGTCGTGAATTTTGCCGCAACGTCGACACCCAGAGGTCTGGACCCCTTCCCCGCGACCCGTTCCTCATCCTGAGTCGCCTTTTGACGGTCCTGGGGCCCAGTAAGGGCCCCTGGAGGCAGAAAACAGCGAGCAGCCTCCCGTCGTGCTTTTCCACGACGCGAGGGGGCCCGGGCACCATGGTAAAGAGGGCGCCTGGTCAAGCAAAACCGGGCCGAAGCGGATATCGTGGCGCTGGGTGGCGCCGCCCTGCAAAGCTCGCTCGCGCCGCCAGGCAACGTGGCATCGAACCTGACGAAGCTCGACAGTGGCGCAGGCAACCTCAGCCAGTTCGCGCGATGGATACCCAGACATGCTCGCGTCGTAAAAAAAACAAAAAAACGACGGGCAGTTTTTGCCGTTTTCGGCTTCTGGAGGCCCTCGCTCATTCCTGGGGCCGTCAAAAAACAAGGTGAAAAACCGGTCCCGGGGAAAGGGTCAGGACTTCCGGCGACGCCGTACTGAAAAAATCAGGACGTGGCATGTCTGGCTGCTGCAATGGAAGGGTTGCGGACGCGGACGCAAGCCCAGACATGCGACGTCCCGATGTGTGCAGTACGGCGTCCCCAGAAGTCCCGACCGACCCCTTCCCTGGGACCGGCTTCTCATCCTGAGTCGCTTTTTGACGGTCCTGGGGCCCCGCGAGGGCCTCCAGACACCGAAGACGGTGAAAAACCTCCATCCTGCAATTTTTGCGCGATGCGCCCCAGACCCCCGACGTCATGATTTTTTCATGACGCGACCCCAGAGGTCTGGATCCATTCCCGGGGACCAGTTTTTCGCCCCGAATTATTTTGTGACGGTCCCGCGGCCCGGTAAGGACCTCCGGAAGCCAAAACAGCGAAAAACCTCCCGTCGAGATTTTCTCATAACTCGAGGGGGTTTGGGGAGCATGTCTAGGAGCACATCATCCCTGAAGCACTCCAGAATTTGGCAGGTGGGGGCTGCAGGATCCTCGAGGCGCTCCAGGGATCAAAGGGCGCGCAGAGCCCTCGACGCACTCGCTAGCAAGCTTGGGGCGGGGCCCCGAAGGAGGAGGAGGCGGCGGAGGAGGAGGAGGGAGGAGGAGGAGAAGGAGAGGAGGATGAGGAGCAGGGATGAGGAGCAGGGAGGAGGAGGAGGAGGAGGAGGAGGAGGAGGAGGAGGAGGAGGAGGAGGAGGAGGAGGAGGAGGAGGAGGAGGAGGAGGAGGAGGAGGAGGACGGGTCGCCGAAGCCCTTCGGAGAAACCCTCCACCCCAGCCCCGAGCCCGGCGCCCGGCCCTGGGCCCAGGCCCGGCCCTGGCCCGGGCCTCGGCCCCGGCCCGGGCCTCGGCCCCGGCCCGGGCCCCGTCCCGAGCTCCCAGCCCAGGGGCCCTGGCCTGGCCCCGGGCCGGCCATGTCCCCGCGCTGGTCGTCGGTCGTCGGCCATCGCTCGCCGTGGATGATCCGTCGTCGTCGTCGGTCGTCCTCGTCGTCGTTGCCGTGGGTCCTCGTCAACGGTCGCCTGGGAACGCCCCGGCTCGGCGGCACTGCGTGAAGGCACCGGGCGCGCTGCGCAGGACTACTCAGAAAAGCCAGCTGCATGTCTCAAGAGCTCAACGTTCGCATCAAGACCGCTCGCGTGTCATCCAATGGTTTCTCCCATGCCCTCGGCCGCCGACCACCACTGTTCGACCCCACCGCACTCCTACGGCGGTCTCTTCTGCATATGGTTGACGACCGAAATGGGCACGGAACAAATACTACGATGCCCAACAGCACATGTTGCTCAAAAGCGCCAGCGGCCGCAGTAGGGCAGGCGGCCCTCTGTCTCCAGTGGACAGCGCCCGCGGCCACGCCGACAGCGAACCCTGCTTAGCATTCGAGGATCTTCTGACCCGGGTTAATCCAGACCCGGTTCAGCCAGGCCTTGCAGAATCCTGCAAGATCCTGCACCCAAACCCGGGTCAATGCGAAGGATCCTGCAAGATCCTGCAGGATCCTGCACCCAAACCCGGGTCAATGCGACCCTGGACCTGCAGGATGCTGCAAGAGCTGGCGCTCTGGCTGACCCCCGTTTGCATTGACCCCCGTCTCGAGGCTCCCGAGACATGCGTAGGAACTGCTGCCGGTCTGCGCACCCCCCCTGAGATCCGATGTTGCAACAAAATCGCAGCATCGCGAAACATCGCGCCTGGAGCCCCAGACCTCACCTTTCTGCGTCATTCTTCGAGCCCGATCGATCTGTCAGGGTCCCCGGGCCCCACATCGAGCGAAAACGCCCGGTGCAAAAACATTGCGACGCCAGGATCTCAGGGCCCTCTTTCCGTAGCCACAGCCCTCCAGGCCTGCAGAGTGACCCCGAAGAGGGGCGGGCGGGCAGACCTCGAGGCAGACGGGCGGACAGGCCAGCTGGCCTCGACGAGGCGGGCAGCCTCCTCCTCGTCCTCCTCCTCCTCCTCCTCCTCCTCCTCCGCCTCCTCCTCCTCCTCCTCCTCCTCCTCCGCCGCATCCTCCGCATCCT